CCCCCCCCCCCCCCCCCCCCCCCACACACACACAACACATGCCCCCAAACAAGCCCCCAAACATGCCCCCATCTTCCCCAATTAGCTACGGTCCTTGAGTAACAAATTAAAAATTCGCCTTTCAATGTTATTAACTTGTATGTGACGGCTGAGTTTTCACCAGTAGCCCAGTTTGTCCCAAGAAGGGGCCCTGTTCGTTCGAAGAGGGGCTGGAGTTGTAGAATTTCCAATCCTCATGTTGTATGCACTATGTTTTGGTGACCTGGCTGGCGGGATTTCACCGAACTTGTGGAAGAGAATGTATCAAGTGGTTGGTTGCCTGCGACACAATGTATGTTGGTTAGGTTTCTGGAAAAGTGCAACAATGTATGTTGGTTAGGTTTCTGGAAAAGTGCAACAATGTATGTTGGTTAGGTTTCTGGAAAAGTGAGATATCTTCTTTCCTTCTGGGAAATGTATGGTATAACACGGAGTTATATCAAATATGAAAGGAATTTGGACCGTTTCTCGATTTATGCGTGTCATCCTTGTGCAGGGGAACATGATACTACTTTTTCTTTCTTCCCCCCCCCTCCCCCCAAATGAAAAAACAGGACCTTATGGGCCTGGCTCCCTTCGATTCTGGTGAGCATTCGTCCGGTTCCTATTCCACCGGCAAGTCAGAAAATAGTCAAATACATACAACGAGTTTCACTCTAACCCCCCCCCCCACACACCACCACCACCACCAACAAAACCCACTCTGGATGCTTCCCCATGTTATGGCCTGCAGACCCCTGATAGCAATGATTATTTCCTTCGGAAGGGGTGGCTGGCAGTCAAGCCCAAGCTTGAGACATGCCCCCCTCTATGAGCCCTGAAAAGTCTCATCCCCCATTAAATAACAGGCCTGAAAACAGCCAGATTAATCCCTCTCAGGGAGATATGTTATTCTGTTTATTTTTTTTTTCTGAGATATGATATTCCATTTGCCCCTGGGAGAAGCGTTGACTTTTTCCATTTTCAGAAATGTCTGATGGCGCATTTCCTGTCACCGATTGGTTGTCGTTTATGTCAGCTGGCTCTGTTCTGAGCTCTGACATTGTTTGCAAGTGACGCACTATGTTGTCATGAGGCAGCCGCTGTTCTGCGTTTTGATCCATGGATTAATTAACTGATTAATAAAGTAATTAATTCTGGTGAATCAGGGAATCTGAAGAGCGAGGTCCATTTGCGATTTGCGATGCGATTTGCGATGTGCTTTGCTTAACCTGATCGATCGACAGACGTACGGAGTACGGATTGTTGCTCAGTGGCTAGGAGGGAGGAGGGGGAGGTTTAAGGATTCGAAGATGGAGCTCGCGCGGTATGCGTCTGTGATAAGGAGGGTAGGTAGGCCTGTCGATCGGCGAGGAATCACTTGTCTGCTGCGCATGGATGGCTCCTTTTCCGGCCTCCGCATGTTCTCCTCGTCCTCGGGATTTCCGCGATCGTCGTCGGATTCGCCTCAGATGACTGATTTCGGCTATAGATCGGTTCCCGAGGAGGAGAAAGCTGGACTCGTCGAGGGTGTGTTCAAGAATGTCGCTGACAAGTACGATCTGATGAATGACCTGATGAGTGGTGGTCTCCACCGGCTGTGGAAGGACAAGCTCGTGTCCCGACTACGCCCGTTTCCGGGAATGCAACATTTGGACGCAGCCGGTGGGACCGGCGACGTCTCATTTCGGATCTTGAACGCAATCCGCGAGATGGAGAAGAACATCGTGAGGCTGCCTCAGCGCCAGAGTTCTGCGGATGGCGATTCCCAGACGAAGATCGTCGTAAGCGACATCAACGAGGCGATGCTCGAGGTCGGCAAGCAACGTGCAAAGGACCGCGGCTTTGCAAATGCGGCCGAGCTCGATTGGCTACAGGCGAATGCGGAATCTCTGCCGTTGGATGAGAACAGCTTTGACGGCTTCACTATCGCCTTTGGTATCCGGAACTGCACTCACATCGATAAGGTTCTGAGCGAGGCGTTTAGGGTCTTGAGGAGGGGAGGAAGATTCCTGTGCTTGGAATTCAGCCGAGTGGACGCTTTGCCTCTGCGGCAACTGTACGACATGTACTCCTTTATGGTCATTCCGTGCATCGGCGAGTTGGTTGCGGGCGACAAAGAGTCGTACCAATACCTTGTGGAGAGCATTCGGCGATTCCCTCACCAGCAACGATTCGCGCGGATGATCGCCGATGCCGGGTTTCAGAAAGTTCAGTTCGAGAACTTAACGGGGGGCGTGGTTGCCATTCATTCGGGGTTCAAACTCTGAGTTTCCAAAAGGGGAACGAAGAAAGTCTTTTGCGGGTGACGGTACACATTTTTTTTCATCTCTTATTCGTTTTCTGATGACAGCACTTACTCCGGCTCCGGGGTGGATTTGGGGAAGAAGAGGGGGGAGGGGAGAGGGGGGGGGGCGGCACGGGGAGCGCAACAGTTGGATTTCCTGGTCCTGGGAGATAGGATGATAATTCATTGAATTCGTTCAAAATTGTCACGAGCACAGCGCGTTGAAATTGTTGATCGTGATATTTGTGCCTTGCTGCTGTTGGATTTCCTGGTTCTGGAATATATGATAGATTCATTGGATTCGGTCAAAATTGTTATGAGCACAGCGCATCGAAAATGTTGCTCGCGAGATTTGCGTCTGCAGTGAATGCACATTAGTGAACTTCTGCACTCTGGGAAGGGAAAGCACATCCATAATAATAATTCATTGGGATTTCATTTCTGTCCTGTTGCGAAAGCATTTCGGTGTGATGTTTGCGGGAGTAAGTAGGGTACGTAGTACGTAGTCATGGAGCGTGTGCTGTTGATTGATGTGTAGGGAGTTGGGTGCTAAATGAACTAAGTTCAACTAACTGATATGGTAGTGATTCTTGAGGTAGCTGTAGGGATTAGGAGAGGGGAGGAAGGGGAGAGGGAGGGTGGAGGGACCTTCTTGGTTTTGGACTTGGGTGTGGCGCAAAGGTCTGAGAAGAGAGAGGGCTTGTGATAAGCTTAGTGGGAAGGATAGACACAATTCATTGTTCTAACGAAGGAGAGAACTGAGCTTGCCTGATGGGCATTATTGGAGTTTTCGAGTTAAGGTTCGCAGAAGGGCACGTACCCCTTCTTCTTGACGCGGTAAGAGGAAGCGATGGCACAGAGAGATGGTGGTACCATCAACTTTGCCGGTGTCGATGTTGAAAAGTCACCCGAGTATTTTTTTGATGAATTTACCCAGTTGGTGGAATAATTTGTTTGATTTTGGGCCAAATTGTACCTATTCTTTTTCGACATTCCTTTATCTTCTCTGCGGAA